ATTGGTTTTTAGATATTCTCAAATGGGCCAACAAGAGATTGAAATTATAACATATAATTCACCTGTATTCAATTTCCAAATAACCTTCTGAGGCACCTTAGAAAATGCTTCGTTCATCGTTGCAATGACTCTTGTGTCCAACGTATCAACCACCGATCCAAACGTTACAAGAATCACACCATCGTCACCAGAACTCGACATGAATGATTCCAACTCAGGCTGAAGGGGTTTAGCAGGACCAGGCATAAAACTACCGACTTCTTTTACATCTAGTAATGAAAATAATAAAGATCAAAATGTAGGAGAAAAGCGGAATAACGAGTAACGCGGTCTAAGGTAAATGSAGTATTGTTTGGTGAACATACTTTACAAAATGTTGTTATAGAAAGAAAGCATTCAGAAAAGACGTTGGAACATCTGTTTGTTGCCTTTTTATACTCTTAATGATWTATAGAGAAGTTTTTCAGAGATATGGACCCATTCGAAATATGGTTACCAATAGCTGACCATTTTTGTGAACCGGCTGGATTGTTGTACAAGTACGAAGCTTGTCATGGAACAATAACAATGTTAATTCGCAACATTTTTTTACTTCGTTAATAAACTATAGTGTAAAACGGATGAATCTTATACTTGGCATTACACTTACAGGGCGGCAAAGGCATGGCATCGTCCAACACGAGGTCTTTTCCCAACAAAACTAAATCTACTCTTCCCAGGGTCTCCCAAATGCTTTCTTCAGGTTTGATGTTGTGTTTTGTTTTCACTTCCTTGTAGAACGCATGCGCGCCATATTGCAATAAAAGAGATTTTGCAAGATGRTACCCAAAGTTCTTTATTCGATCCAGTAGACCCATATTTGGAGTTAAACCCGAGAACATTTGTGGAACATAGCTCGGATATGTTGATATACCATAAAAACCCAGTTGTGGTAATTTCAAAGAACTTCCRATAACAGTAACATGAGGAATGTTAAACTTTGCAGCAACGAGTGCTGTGCACGTGAAAAGAGCTTCCCCAACAAGAATATCTGCGGTTTTAAGTTCCTTTGGTACTTTTCCATCACTTAGAAAATCATCACAATATGTTTTTTGCTTCCCAAACAGATGTCGCAGTAATGATGGGAAGGATAGATCTTTATTAAATACTTTAGTACCACTATCCCCAAATTGTTCCACTTCTGTTTTGAAGACTTTGACGAAGGGTTGATCTTCTGAAGCAWAGCGATGGACACCATCTCCAACGAAAATTGTGACCTGAAGAAATTGTCGAGAAACAATTGTTAAAAGTGTAGAATATCCAATTGTAATGACATTTTCGTAAGTAAGAATAATTTAGTATTGTTCAGTGGTCTGTCTAGTTTCACAAAGTTTAAATACGACCATACTGTGATCTGATGGGCTTGCTTCAACACCAGACTCATACCCAGTCACTCTTCATTTTTYTTTGGCGCGCAAAGGATCCAGGGAAGTCGAACCCTTGATGCACCGCGACCCGTAAAACGAGTAAGAGAAACGACTGGGTACGAGTCTGCTTCAACACGGAGAAAGTTAAACTCTGATTTCCGAGAGCAATATAAGATAGTAAGATATGAGCAGACTTACACAAGAGTCCCTTATTATCCGATTGCAAAATGTGGAAAGTCAAAAAAAAAAAAAAAAAAAAAAAAAAAAAAAAAAAAAAAAAATTCAAGCAAGACATATATATGGATCCAACCCATTAGAAAGAAGAATAATCAAAATGCAGTTCAAAAAGCATTCAACGATCCAAAATCAAGATGTAACGTCCAGTCCAAGTCCAGGGTCAAGCGTTCRAGTTTTCAAATAATCTAGAGACGAACGGCGAATAAGCCACCGAAAGTATTTTTGATGGTTGATATTCACTCATTCCAAAAAAGCAAGGGGAAAAGAAATCATTATCAAATATTTTTAAATGCATTGATATCGTTTACATGGTCTACCTTTCTGTCCGAGAAGTGTCCCGGCACCCTGACAGAGTGTCACAAAAATTATATGTCCGGGAGTCAAAATAATTCACCAAAATCACAGTAGAATGTAAATCCAGTCCTATCAAAGATACTTTACTGTATTTAGGTGCAGACAGTCTTCCCTTTGACGAAATCCAGTTGAAAATCAAAAGCTTCTTCGCCGAGTATGCAGTCGACATGACACTTCGGTTTTTCCCGTCTCTGGACGGACTCCCGGACAGAATGTCACGAAAAACTAAAAAACACGAAAAACATTGTTGAGAAAACAATGAACAAAGATAAGTCTTCCAAAACCTTCCAACAATAAAACAAAACCTTTCCTAATGCAATAGAGGCAATGTAGATGTGCACAATTTTAAGTACTCAAAGTAATTTTACCTCAAAGTTATACGGTCGATAGAAATAGCTCATCAATACCTATTTTCACACGAAGTTTGAAGAGTTTCGATTTTTCGATCTCGCTTATTAAAAGCAGCAATCAAAAAGCAGGTTTCGATTGTTGCATTAATGGATCGATATATATGTGGCGTAGAAAAATAATTAGACAATCTGCATTGCACAATTTCTGTACATTTTACCTTGTGACCTCTTCTATTGAGCTCCTCGCCAAGCTTAGCAAGAACAAGATAATGACTCGCCCCAAACATCGGTAGCATCACTACGTTTGCAGCAAAACAACCATTCAAACACCAAAGCAAGCAGACAAGAACTAAAACCTTCATTGTAGCTTGTAGTAATGGATCTATTTCTGTTTCCGGGGTCTAGTCTTCTATGGGCAAAGTACTGTGTTATTTGTTAGCTCTCCGTCACGGTGGTATTGGGTCACGTGTCATTATTGTTTTGGTTAAATCCAACATGGTCTCAAAAATATGGTTAGTTGTGGAAATGCAACAACCATCTGGAAAATATGTAAAAATGGGATAATGATATGCAGACATAAGCCTCTGCACCGCTCTAGGTGTTTCATTTCAGTGTCTGATGCCGTTAGTGAGGGTCTTGTGTCTTTTATATCGCTGTTGTAGCTTTTCTGGCGCTCGTAATAAATTTGCTGACGATCACGTGTCTTGTGATATGACTTAGTTTTTAGGAGCATCTATTCGCTAAAAAAGCCATTAACGTCCTAAAGACATAGCTTGTGTTCGATAAACAACAATTCTGCTGGTTGAAGGACCATGTACGATAAAATAGTCTAAAAATTGGATTTCTTCTCACTTTATTGACAACACAACTTTTCGTTTGACCTCTCGCCTCGTTAGTCTCCTCTCGCAGCCGTTAGGACGTTTGTTCCCAGGTCACTCCCCACTTGGAACGAACGTCCTTGCGGCTGCGAGAGGAGACTATCGCCTCGTGCTCTCACAGACACTCTCAACGCGCATATGCAAAATTACAAGGGGGGGAGGGGTAGGTGATACATATCGTAAGTATAGACAAGGCGAGGTGTAGTTTTCTTTTCTATTATTTTGTTGAGAGATTTTGTTCTTTTTTCCTTGTGAGGGTTTTTAAAGTTTACTACGAGGTTTTGGCTTTGTTTGGAGCGCCACAGCAAAGGTTAATGACTCGTTTTAACACAGCTTTAACAATAAACAAGACCAATGCAAATACTATTCCTAGAACCAACAATACATCTAGCATGTATAGCTGATAGAAAGGTAGTTTTAGGCCCTTTGGTTTGAGATGAGCAAGGTTGCCAACTGCATGGAGGTATTCTATAAGCTCTGCTGCTTCTTCMAGTGGAGGCCTTGTTCGCATTTTCACCACTCTAGAGACATAATCAGCCTTTTCTTTATACCTGGGTATCAATAACGATAGGTCAATCAAGAAAAAAAGGAAAAGAAACGCTTATGAATAAGGAATAACTCTTCCAATCTATCGCCCCATATACCCATACTTTGGGAGTAGATGATCGTGGTCAGCTACCTTTAAGGTTTGAAAATGATCTGGTGTAACAAAAAAATAATTTAAATGGTGTACCTTTCACGGACTAACAACTTGGTGTTGCTACACCCATCTTGGGGTATATACCACGATCAGGACATTCTAATTCTTGATTGGAAAACTACTTACCTTTTCTCAGTTAGAACTTTGTTTATCATCTCAACAAGTTGGTCAACAGTAGTCGTCTTGACATYTAGAGTCTCACCGAGACCCATGTACTCTAGACTGTGTGCATTTTCCACTTGATCTCCAAAGAAAGGTGAGCAGATCATTGGAACACCGTGGTACACCGCTTCGGCAAGCCCACTGGCTCCAGCATGTGTTATGAACAGTTTGGTTTTTGGATGACCAAGAATATCGTTCTGTGGGAGCCAACGAAATRTTTTGACGTTTGAAGCAATTCTTCCTTCAAATTTTTCTAATTACAAAATATTCAAGATTGGTTAAGCTGTAATGTCATTGGATGTTGAGCCGTTAACTCCGAACTGACGCACGCATGTAAAAATTCAGTGCCACGCGAAATTAGAGTTACGCGTTCTCTATTATCAAATTGAAAGATTTCACATCAAATTATATACCTGTGTTTAATTTCCAGATGACTTTCTGAGGAAGTTTAGAAAACGCTTCGTTCATTGTTGCAACGACTCTATTGTCCAACGTATCTACATTCGTTCCAAAAGTTACAAGAATCACACCGTCGTCACCAGAACTCGACATGAACGATTCCAACTCCGGTTGAAGAGGTTTAGCAGGACCAGGCGTAAAACTTCCAACTGCCTTAACATCTGCCAAAATCAAAATGATAAGACATAAATGAACACCACACTACATACAGAAGGGTCTGTCATAGTGTGGAGTTTCCCCGATGCATACATGTAAATAGAACCTCTGAACCTTTTACGATTTTACGTCATGTACCGTATAAGCAATGCATTGTAGGACAAGTTCGGGCCAGAACATGGCATCTTATGTTTTCTCTAGTAAATGATCCCACAATGCATTTGAAAATCAAGTTTTGACGTAGAAGTTTCAGACGTCTATTGTAATAATACATCAAATTATTGCACTTACAGGGCGGCAAAGGCATGGCTTCGTCCAACACGAGGTCTTTTTCCAACAAAACTAAATCTACTCTTCCCAGGGTCTCCCAAATGCTTTCTTCAGGTTTGATGTTGTGTTTTGTCTTCACTTCACTATAGTACACACGGGCAAGAACTTCTAAGAATACATTCCCAGCMAAGTAGAACCCGAAGTTCTTTATTCGATCCAGCAGACCCATATTTGGGGATAATCCCGAAAAGGCTTGTGGGACATAGCTGGGGTAGGTCGATAAACCGTAAAACCTCAAATATGGTGTTTTCAAAGAGCTTTGTATGATGGTAACATGTGGAATGCTAAACTTTGCAGAAACTAGTGAGGAACACGGGTAAATAGTGTCCCCAACAAGTATTTGAGTAGTCTTAAGTTCGTTTGATAGTTTTTCGTCGCTCAGAAGACCATCGCAGTACATTTGCTGTACTTTCATTAAAAGATCTGGACGAATTGAACCTTTAGACAGTACTGTTTTTATCACGGGCTCCAGTTTCTCCATTCCTGACTTGAAAACCTTGACRAATGGGTCTTTTTCTGAAGCATACTTGGCATCATCACCAACGAAAATGATCACCTGAACGAAATGATAAAAATGTACTTTATTATTYATCTAATAGATGTCTCACAATTGTTACTCAAGAGGGATCAACTAAAACTCTGAAAGACACAATAGTCTCCTTCATGGTTCTTTGCGCCATCTTGTAGTGTAACCGTGCCTTTACATGGAGAGCGAGACGATCGCTGATCAATGACAGATACCTGCGAATAATTGTATGTATTGTTATTGTAGGTGTGAATAAAGATTTCTATCATTGCACGCTCAACAGTCGTCGCACGCGCTTAAATGCAAAGGCATGGCTACATTTCAGAATGTCGAAGAAAACCGCGAAGTGGACAATTAACAACAGTCCGATAGTCCCTGTCCAGGTGCCACTGTTCCGTTACCATGCATGCGTGACTCAAACAATGAGGGATTCTTTCAATTAATGCAAAATTAGGGTATGCATAAACGAGTATATATGTTGCCCAGAAAAATAATTCKATCCGCCGCTACTACTCATGTATCAAATATTATCAGTCACGCAACGTGATGCAGGTCCAATCCTTTATCTATAATATTAAAACAGTCTCATATAGTTAGATGTTCTGCATTTCTTAATAGAAGCCATAATTTATGAGTAATATACGGTATGTATTGGGTCCGTTTTTGCTATGAAATGACATAAATTCAATGTTTATGTCTTCAGTAGAAGAATGATAAAGTCTACATTTCTACAATGTAGTGAAATGATATACGAGCCTTTGCTTTGACCCTCATCAAACCAAGCATGCATATATACATGTTCTATTCTTACCTCATGACCTCTTCTGTTGAGCTCCTTKCCAAGTTTTGCAGAGACAAGGTAATGACTTCTCCCAGCAAATGGCATCATTGCTACTTTAGCGGCGAGACTTCCATTCCAAATCCACAAGAAGCATAAGGACACTAAGATCTTCATTGTATATCGTCTGAGGTGCAAACCAATCCAGATATTTGCCGGGAATATTTGTTACTTTCGCTCTCAAATATATCAGGCTTGCATTGACAGGTTTGTAAAGTGCACCGTCGCTTAATGAATYTAATTAGAATCTATTAAAATTCATTGTTGTTTTCAAATGAGTCGGCAAACAGGCGCCCGATTCGAGGCTGCTTGAGAAAGACCGACCCCGCAATCTCGTACCCAGAGCCAGCGTGACTTTTGTCTTTGTCATCGACAGACCAAAAGTAACGCGGGCTCTGGGTACGAGATTGAGCGACACCGCTATCAATAGAGCCAACTGCGCATGCTTGAGACCAATGCAAGTTACAAACTAATGCCTTACTTTCCATCATAATGCTTATAGGTGTTATGTTTTCTTAGGATCATTATTATTGAGATTTTTATGACTTTAAACGTCTGAAACAATGTACTGTTACTGCAACAAAGCGTGTGTTACAGCAATATGCAGAAATTATGATCTTTTTCAACTCATAATTCAAGTACATTTTATATGTAAAATATATCTGRAATTATAGGATATCTTCGCCAATATTTTTTTCAGGCAACTTCAAAAAACATCGGCGATGATATCCTATAGTTTTTAATACTATTTTATATATAAAATGCAACTTGAAATATGAGTCAAAAAGATCATAATTTCTGAATATTGCTGTATATCAAATAGCATGTTATGGTACAATTGAGTTTATYAAGAAGTTTTGATTTTCTTTTGACGACAACAGYAAAAATTAATCACTCGTTTTATCACAAATACAACTATAAACAAGACCAGTGCAAATACTACTCCTAGAACCAACAATACATCTAGCATGTATAGCTGATAGAAAGGTAGTTCCAGGCCCTTTGGTTTGAGATGAGCCAGGTTACCAACGGCATGGACATATTCTATAAGCTCTGCTGCTTCTTCAACTGGAGTTCTTGGCCGTGCTTTCACCACTTTAGATAAGTAATCAGCTTTTTCTTTGTACCTGTAGACGATAGGAAAAACAAAAAGCAATTAACGTTATGTCTTCTTCGATTCTTCTTCCTAAAAAGGTCCCAGTAACACAACATATAGTAATTTGTCATTCATARAATGAATGAAAATAGGTTTTCTTTGTTTTTTGTTGTCCAGGGTTTGAAAGCAGAACCCGACCATACTGGCAAAGTTTTATAACGCGCCTGAATCAATCATACCTACCTTTTCTCAGTCAGTACTTTGTTTATCATCKCAACAAGTTGKTCAACAGTTGTCGTTTTGACACTAAGAATCTCACCAAGACCTCTGTACTCTACACCGCGTGAATTATCAAAGTGGTCGCCAAAGAAAGGTGAGCAAATCATTGGAACACCRTGGTACACCGCCTCGTTGACTCCATTAGTTCCACCATGCCCTATGAACAGTTTGGTTTTTGGATGACCAAGAATATCGTTCTGTGGAACCCATCGAGCTGTTTTGATGTTCGAAGCAATCAGTCTTTCTTCAAATTTGTCTAAGATCAACGAAATGTTCATTWATAGTTGTGACAAGTGCTAGCAACGATGCTAGCAACGGGTGGCGAAACATTAAATTATCAGTCATGTAGCACGTATCGAAAGCTGCTTTTCATTGCTTCCTTCCATCTATTTTTGGTCAAGTGTTTCTCGAGCAACAAATCTTGAGATTCATTCCAAGAGAAGAGTTGGTACATGACCAAAACATGTAAATCTAATTTATGCAAATTTCATTAAAGGCATAAGCTTAAATTTATAGCAATAAAAAAATTTTTTACTTATATATTTCGTTCATTATTTTTGTCCGACTATTATGGTAGTAATACTAAAACAATTAGACCTTCGGCCTCATTGGCTATCGTACTAGTCCACTCGCCCTTGAGGTCTAATTCAKTGTTACATATGGTGCTTACTTAAATCTGATAGATAGGGATATTTGCGAATAGATTAATTATACCTGTGTTCAATCTCCAAATGACTTTCTGAGGCAGTTTAGAAAACGCTTCGTTCATCGTTGCAACGATTCTATTATCCAACGTATCCACCACCGATCCAAAAGTTACAAGAATCACGCCGTCGTCACCAGAACTCGTCATGAACGATTCCCATTCAGRCTGAAGAGGTTTAGCAGGACCAGGCGTAAAACTACCGACTTCTTTTACATCTGAACATTAAAATTAGAGCAATAAAATGACGATGTATATATACTCATACAGYACATCGCCTGATTAGCTGCGGAAATTTACTCATCGAGTCGTTTTTTGAMGGTTAAATGAAAGGTAGGAGGTCCAKTATAAACTAGAGTATAAAACGATTTAATCAAAAATCATACTGTACTTACATGGTGGCAAAGGCATGATCGCGTCTTGTAGCACAAAGTYTCTAGCCACTAAAAGTAAATCCACCGTTCGCAGTGTTTTCCAAATGTTTTCTTCGGKTTTGATGTTGTATTTTGTCTTTAGTTCACTAAAGAATCCATGGACAGCAATTTCTAAAATCACCAACCTCGACAAGTAGAACCCAAAATTTTTTATTCGGTCCAATAAACCCATATTTGGAGTTAATCCCGAAAATGATTGTGGAACGTAGCTCGGATAAGTGGATATACCGTAATATCCCAATACAATGCCTTTCAAATGGACAGGGACGATACTAACGTGTGGGATGCCAAACTTGGCAGCAACTAGCGATGAGCAGGGGTAAGTGGCATCGCCAATAAGTATTTGAGCGGTTTTAAGTTCGTTTAAGGCTTTTTCATCGCTAAGAAAACTATCACATTGTTTTTYACTCATTGAAATTAAATGATGGAAGTGATTTGGAAATGATAAGCCTGAAAATATCGAAGTGTCATGATCACGTTTTGTCATCCTTGTTTTAACGACCTTGACAAAAGGGTCAGATTTTGAAGCATGGAGAGCACCATCCATGACGAAAATAATCACCTGTCAAAAAAAAAAGAAAAAAAGAAAAAGAAAGAGAAATTATATGAAGTTACTTATTACAGAACCAATACGCCGTAGGAAAATATTTTTATTTTGAAAGCAGAAGAAATGCTTCTCGAGTAAGCGCTCTGAAAACGTATTGTTTTAGTTCATTTAGGTCAAAGCTGTTGCTGGTCTGTTAAGTCATGCAACAGCACTATATTGTTTAGCGTCTGGATGAATCTTCAATAACTTACAACCGGAATTTACGTATATAATATGCCACAGTAAGTTAATATGTTAAATATAAATGAGCTGAGCTCAAATTTAAACAGTCTTGTTGCCGTACAAAGAGCATATAAATTACTGCTACGCTTCGTTCTGTATGCGCTATGAATAGTTAAGACCATTATGCTGTATAAAGCTAAAAAAAAAACAATTATACATTTAGTTACTGCGGCTAATTAGGTACCTCGTGTCCCCTTCTGTCCAGTTCTTCGCCAAGTTTTACAGCATTAAAATAGTGACTTGGCCAAGATGGAAGCGGCAACATCACTACTTTTGCAGCTAAGTAGACTTTAAAAAGCCACAAGAAGCATAAAGCCGAAACTAAAATCTTCATTTGCAGTTGATGCCGCGAACTAACAATAAAAAGAAACAGTAAATCCAAGCCGTGCCTTTATTAGGAGAACTCATTCAGATGCTCAMGGCTGTAGCAGCCGAGGTCAAAAACACTTAGTACGTAATTTGTATCACAGATAGTGAAGGAAGATAAGGAGGAGTCATGATTATTTGCAAAATGCCACTCAGTATTTTCAGATAAATGACGTAAACGCTTCAGAGGTCTATTGAAATTTGTAAATATAAGAGATTAGAAATTATGTTTTTTTTCAGGATACTTATTTTCTTTTTTGTGAGCCAATATACGTAAACGTTCTTGGATGCAAATGCTCCTTTTATTTGAAAACTATGTCCTCGGTTCCGTTCGATCTTCCATGAGTTGCCGAAGCAACGAGCCACTGATCCATTGAATGACTGATACTCATGAATAGCGATAAATCAGTTGTTTTGAAGTTTTACTGGCGAGCCAACGAGGTACTAAATAGTATTTATTTTATACTTGATAAGGTTGTTTTCAAGTTGCTTCTTTTTTTATACAAACACGCACTGGATCAGTTAAAAGATTATACAGTCGCTCTTGAAATGGTTGCTCACCTGAAATAGACAGTTCCTATACAACCTGTTAAGCAGTTATCTATTTATGGATGTTGACAAACACGCTTTCATTGATCGGCTCAATGATTTAGACCGCGGTATGGATTATGTCGAGCGAAACAATTTTTGTTCAAACGTTCAAGGCGTAATAAGTATATAAAAAACAATCAGACAAAGTATATAAAAAAACAATCAGACAACGAGGCCAAGTAGACTACGTTTTGATAGTCCATGAGAATGTATGTGCACAGTCTGTAGGACAAAAGTGACGAAACAGAATGATATCAAAAACACTACTTTTTTCTAACTTTTTCGACTATGACTCGTTCGCTCCATTCGATACGACCCATGCTCTCATAAAAAAGTTTTTGTTGTAACTAATATAAGTTAAAAACACGTAATTTAGGATGCTTTGATTTTCTTTTGACTACCACGACAAAGGTTAATCATTCCTTTTACAACAGCTACAACAATAAACAAAACCACTGAAAATACTACTCCTAGAACCAACAATACATCTAGCATGTATAGCTGAAAAAAGGGCAGTTCCAGACCCTTTGGTTTGAGATGGGCCAGGTTACCAACGGCATGGACGTATTCTATAAGCTCTGCTGCGTCTTCAACAGGAGTCCTTGGTCGCATTTTCACCACTCTAGAGACATAATCWGCCTTTTCTTTATACCTGAAGATAAGAAGMAAAAGAGGCAATCTTTGATTTCAGATTTAAAACATCCAAGACCAGCAAAACATACCTGTTCTTGCTTAGTACTTTGTTTATCTTGTCAACAAGTTGGTCAACAGTTGTCGTCTTGACACTAAGAATCTCACCGAGACCAATATATTCTACATTTCGTGCATTAGCAAACTGGTCTCCAAAGAAAGGTGAGCAGATCATTGGAACACCRTGGTACACCGCCTCGGCGAGTCCATTGGCTCCAGCATGTGTTATGAACAGTTTAGTTTTTGGATGACCAAGAATATCGTTCTGCGGAAGCCACCGAGCTGTTTTGATGTTTGAAGCAATTCTTGCTTCAAATTTMTCTAAGATCAATTTGGAATTCAACAAAAGTTGCGACAAGTGTTAGAGATAATCCTATCAAAACACCATTCATAATTGCAGTAAAAATAGTTTGCATACCTGTGTTTATTCTCCAAATCACTTTTTGAGGAAGTTTCGAAAATGCTTCGTTCATCGTTGCAACGACTTTATTGTCCAACGCCGTATCCACCATCGATCCAAACGTTACAAGTATCACACCGTCGTCACCAGAACTCGACATGAACGATTCCAACTCCGGTTGAAGAGGTTTGGCAGGACCAGGCGTAAAACTACCTACTTCTTTAACATCTGCACATCAAAATTGTAGCAAAAAAATAAATATGCGTACGCGTGCAGCCTGATTAGCTGTGGAGGTTCGCTTATTGAAGGGGCAGATCAAAGCGGGTTTTCAGGGAACCGGTGCCCCCACTTTTGGGCAAGGTCGTGACCTGTATAATTCATACAGACAGAAAGGCCCACACCAAATTTATAGATGTACCCTCTCCCTTMAAATTTTCTGAATCTTGACCCCTGTATGAACTAYACAAATCATAGTACTTACATGGTGGCAAAGGCATGACGGAATCATCCAACACGAGGTCTCTGGCCACTAGCAGTAAATCCACCGTTCGTAGTGTTTTCCAAATGTTTTCTCCAGGTTTAATGTTGTGTTTTGTCTTCACTTTACTATAGAATCCATGGACAGCAATTTCTAAAATCACCAACCTCGCCAAGTAGAACCMAAAATTTTTCATTCGATCAATTAAACCCATATTTGAAGTTAATTCCGAGGAAAGTTGTGGAACGTAGCTTGGATAAGTGGATATCCCATAAAAACCCAAAGCAACGGCTCTCAAAGAGGTTGGGATTACACTAACATGTGGGATGCCAAACTTTGCAGCAACTAGCGACGAACACATGAAAGTAGCATCGCCAATAAGAATTTGAGCGGTTTTGAGTTCGTTCAAGACTTTTTCATCAATAAGAAAACTGTCACAGTGTTTTGTCTGCTGTGAAATCCAAAGGTGAAGTAGAGCTGGATATGATAGACCTTTGCTAAATTTAGCGAGAATTGAAGTTGTGTTACATTTTGTCATCCCTGTTTTAAAGACAACGACAAAAGGGTCAGATTCTGAAGCATGAAGATCATGATCACCAACGAAAATAGTAACCTGTAAGACAAAAAAACATGGTCGTTCATTTTTCTCAGAGGAAGAAGCAACGGCATCGGAAAACCGTCCGCAAATTCGTGGATGTTTTTGTGATGCGTCGACTTTGGAACAGGAAGTAATTCACTCACTAGAATACCACTGTTAACCTTTACTAGAACATGGTTGAAAAGAACCGCCGGGAAATCACACAATTGCGTTACATCTCAGTTACCCACAATACTTTCTTCTTTGTGGCTCGGAACCGTGCGAGACTACATCGCTTATCAATGTGAAAATTTTATTTTACTTTTAGATATTGTTGCTCATATAAAGTATAAAAAGCTACGAAACATAAAAAAATATCAACGAGTATTTAAAATGCGTAATAAAGCGCTATAAAGTACACAACGCTAAAACTAAGACAGCACACATTCGTCATAATAACCTTTGAGCTAATTGCTGGCTCGACAAGAATCTCAGTCGAACTACCGTTAAWATTGCTTGTGCGGCCMAGAATTAAAATGCCTCTGTAATTGAAAGAGCGCGCCAGTTTAATGATGAAGTGATCAGCCGCGATGCGAAACAGCTTATTATACCTCGTGTCCTCTTCTGTTGAGTTCCCGGCCCAGTTTAGCAGCGTTTAAGTAATGACTAGCCCCAGACAATGGCATCATCACTACTTTTGCAGCAGTGCAGTCTCTAATAAAAATCCACAAGAAGAACAGAGGAACTGGAATCTCCATTGTAAGGCTAATAACGKGAACTCAAACTATAAAATACTCGAAAYCAAATCCGTWTYTTTSGGAGACTTCTCGGTTGAAGTCTGTCGAAACATSCTCTCGATGATCAACACAMCGCTGCTTGAACGTCACAGCAACACCGAGGTCAAAAATGACAGATATACATACRAAAATTATTCAAATTACTTGAACTCAACAGATGAACTGTTAATCATTTTAATTATTAATTAATAGAATCTGTGATATATCCTAATAGTATTCTCAAAACAAAGAATGTCTCTAAATGTTGTTGGTAAAATCATTCACTGGGTTGGGGTGGGGGGCTAGTAACTMAAGAAAAATTATAAAATAGATAGATTTTAAGGCCGCGAAAATGAGATTTCTTTCAAATGAACGCTAGTCTGTTATTCAGAATGAGTCCCATTCACATTTAATTCCTCTTTTATTTCTGGATTTTTGAACCCTAAACAGGGGTTGGCAAGCCACCCTTAATACGACCAATTTTTGACAGCGGTTTCCAAATTTTCTGACTCACAGGGTCCCTCAGGTTCCTTCAGGGTTTTTCAGGKTCCTTCAGGGTTCATYACATATCACACAATCTTTTGCTGTATRTTGATTGCTTTTTTTCTTTTCATGATTACACAACAAGGAATAATCTGGTTATTAAGACGTTTTGGTTTTCTTTGGAGCGCCACAGCAAAGGTTAATCACTCGTTTCTTTTGACGACAACAGCAAAAATTAATTACTCGTTTTATCACAAATACAACTATAAACAAGACCAATAGAAATACTATTCCAAGAACCAACAATACATCTAGCATGTATAGCTGATAGAAAGGTAGTTCCAGGCCCTTTGGTTTGAGATGAGCCAGGTTACCAACGGCATGGAGGTATTCTATAAGCTCTGCTGCTTCTTCCAGTGCGGTCCTTGGACGCATTTTCACTACTCTAGAGACATAACCAGCCTTTTCTTTATACCTGAAGGTAGAATATGGATTCAAAATCAACCAAGAAAGYACAAGAGAATTGGGGACGAACCTCAGGGGAAAAATGAAGAGTCTTTTGTTTCCTAGGAGTCTCGTCTTCAGTCATTTTGTGCATGACCATTCAGACAGAATATGGCCCATTCTGTGTCACTACATTGTTCCGTTCATGCAAGACGTCTTGGCGTAAAATGTGATTCAGTTTCACGAARGCAAGCGTCATTTTTTTCAAGGCTTTCTAGGCTGGAGCAAAACATACCTTTTCTTGGTCAGTACTTTGTTTATCATCTCAACAAGTTGGTCAGCAGTTGTCGTCTTGACGCTAAGCATCTCACCAAGACCAATGTACTCCACACTGCGTGCATTATCAAACTGATCTCCAAAGAAAGGTGAGCAGATCATTGGAACACCGTGGTACACCGCCTCGGCGAGCCCACTGGCTCCAGCATGTGTTATGAACAGTTTGGTTTTTGGATGACCAAGAATATCGTTCTGCGGTAGCCAGCGAGATGTTTTCGTGTTTGAAGCAAGTTTTCCTTCAAATTTCTCTGTTAAAACAATAAGAAACTATAAAAATAAATCCAAAGAAATGCTGCTATAAGCCTCCGTTAAAAGTAGTATGATCCTGTCCTAAAAGACCACTCACTTCTAATTTACATTGAAATCAATTGAAATTGGAAAACCATTGCGGTCGCTATCTTTGATTAGATAATTGTTCAACTAAAAAGGGATGGRAATGCCTGACAGTATTATACGGCTAGCCTGGGTTCACGATAAATTAATAGCATTTTTTGCATGGTCTTATATTCCCACAGTCCATGATTAAATGATCAACATTCGTTTTATAAAATAATTTAGTTTTATACCTTTGTTCAATCTCCAAATGACTTTCTGAGGCAGTTTAGAAAACGCTTCGTTCATCGTTGCAACGATTC